TTTCCCTTTATTGATACTTTTTTTTTTCTCGTTTGGCCAACCAATTTAACCTTACCAATTAACAATAGTAATTGCTAGATATACTGATTTCATTGATTTGGTTCACATACAAGTGTACCGTACAAATAGTAAGTACAAATATTATTCTCAGAGATTGTTATAATGCTCGATTATAGCAATTTGTTACTATGTGAAGGAATAGGATATTTAAGATAATAATTAATCAAAGGCAATAAATTGATTAAAACACTATGCAATTAACTACTAAATACTATTAATTTGTTCATGATTTTTAAAATTTTTGTATGAGGAAGTGGTTAGGGTTTGAATCCCTTCACGATCTTTCTTCTATAATTTCACATAATCCAATACAATAGTTCTCACACAAGCATTAAATTCATATATATCTACAAGAATACATGCATCAAAAAGTTATCCCTAGACTTATTTTCGCATTACATGGTATAGCTCATTTCCAACAATATTTATAAGACTTCTCCTTTATAAACACAACTTGAGATCATTCCACTTATGACCAATTAGTACAAAAGAGAACATCAAGCACTCAATATTTAATGAACAAAACTTGCAATGAATAGAAAGGGGTTCAATTGAAGAGGGCTCCCATAAAGTTTATCCACCTCAAACCTAGTCCAGCAAATCATGATTTAAAAAAAAATCAACAGTGAAGAAGATGATAATGAATAATAGGTTTTTATTCTTTATCCTCTCCCAAGGTGGAAAGCTAGGTTTTCATGAACAAGAACTGTCTTCCTTTATTGAATCTGAATCTCAACAACAATAATAATAATAATAACTTAAAATAGTGTAATGTGTTTGGATAAAGAATTTTACAAATTCACAAAATTTTAAACTTTTAATATTTAAATTATTTTGATTTCAATTTCTATTATTCTTAAAATATTTTATTTGAATAAATTAATTTAAATTTCTTAAATTTTAAATTATTAGATTACATATGATAATTTAATTCCACCATGGTAAAATTGATTTCTAAAATATATTTATATGTTGAGATTTTTAAATTAAATTTTATAAAAATAAATATAAGCTAATTTTTAAATATTTAATAATTTTAAAAATTAATATTAGATAATATTTAATAATTTTAAAATTATTATTGAGATTAAATTATATTTTTTATTTTTTATTTTATTTTTAGGATTCATTTTGGTCATTTATCTTTTAAAGTGTTTATTTGGTTATTTATTTCTTAAATTTAGGTTAATTAAGCTCTTTGAATCATTTTTTTTTGCCTAAGACTTTAAATTTGTTTCATGAAATTCACTTATATGAAAATTATTGAATGTAATCAAAGTTTAAAACAAATGTCTAATAAACATGATAAAAATAAAAATTAAATTTCAAAAAATCTAATTTCATATCATTTTTTAATTGTTCATATAATATATTTTTTACATGATTTTTACTATATTTATAACCCTTTTATATTTAAACATTAATTATATTTCATAGTTTTTATATAGATGAATCTAATATTACAAGTTTCACATTTTGAATTAATCAAAGATTAATTTAAAATTATGTCATAAAAATGAAAATAATTATTATTTTAAAATTACCAAATTGATTCAAATATAAAAGATAAAAGAATATAATAATATTTTAATAAATAAAAGATCAAAAGTAAATTTTAAAAAATAATAAATAAAATAAAAATATAATTTAGCTTATTATTTAACATAAGTTATGTGCAGAAAACAGATTTGTTCTTTAAATATTAAAATTCATTAGTACAACTCCATGAACTTTCCAAACATATACAGGCCTGGAGCAAAATATCCAGCATGTGACAACTTGAATTTTTATTTTGCTATTGGGGCTTCAAACAAGAGATGCAAACTTTGCTTTGGATTGTCTTATGCGTTGTGCCCACCAAGATTGTTTTCAGAAAAGTGTCTTTTTTTTTTGTTATGCTTTCTTGTCCAAAAAAATATTTTATATTTTCTTGATGAAATAAAATATTTTCTATAAAAATTAAAATCAGATTGTTAGTTATAATTATTTTTGGATCTACATCTTATTTGGATATGAAAAAATAGGTTTAAATATATTTTTAATCTCTTAAATTTAAAGTAATTTTTTTAATTCTTTAAATTAAAAATTAATCTTTTTAATCCTGTAATTAAAAAAAAAATATTTTAGTCCTTATACTCAAATTTTGTTAGAAAATCTATCAAATATTGTTGCATAAAATTTATCTACTAATATCTTTATTAATAAAAATATTGCACTAAATCTAATTGATATTGCATTATTATATCAATTTGTCACTTTCACAAATTAGAACAAAATGTTTAAAAATTACAAAGACTAAAACAACAATTTTAAATTTTAGAGATTTAAAATATATTTAAGAAAAAAAAATATTATTAGTGATAATTATTTTAGATTTATTTTCGATTTAGTTATATTGTGAAAAGCTATTTCTAAATAGAAATTGATAAAAAAAATATATTGTTAGTGATAATTATTAATGATTCATCTTAGATCTACTTGCTGATTGATTATTATGAAGACTTATCTCTAAAAATGTTTTAATAAGAAAATACAAATAAAATAAATTGTTCGTGATAATCATTTCATATTGATTTTCTGTTTGATTATTACGAGACCCAAAAGATACATAGATATTTTCTATAGAACTACATGTCTTGAAGTTTCATATGACCCCGATATGTAAGAGAGCATCAATCAATTTGTCGGACAAAATTAATTTTCGTTATTATTTTATTTATTTAAAGTTAATTCATTTTATTTTTATTTGTCTCAAAGGAATAAAATAAATGTTTTAAAATTCTATTATTTTTACATATTTAAATAGAGATAATTGTTTTTATTGTAAATTCTCCATGCATAATTAAATCTCAAACTCTAAATGATTTTGAAAGACCACTTTATTTTAAAAGATAAACATTAGTGGTGACTCTATTTTTAATTTTTGTTCATCCAATCACGATCTTACTTGTAACAACTATCAATCAAATAAAAATAACATTATATATGACTTTTAAAATAATTATTACATAAGTACAATTTATCATATATAATTTATAATTATAATACAAAAAATCTTTATATTATAAGTACATTTAAATTAAATTATAAATGAATCACTATAATTTCTACGAATAAAAAAATTAAATTATAAATTTAAAGAGTAAAAAGAAGAAAAAAAATTCTTCGAAATTATAATATTAATACCAAAAGTTTGAATTTCAAATTATGTACATATTCTATCAATTCCTACTACTAGCTTGACTCTAGTAGTTCAAATGAAAGACTTTTATTATGAATGAAATCATTAATTGTATAAAAATACAAAATGCACAATAAAAATCCTTCATTTTTAATTGTTTAAAATAGGGACCAATCTAGGGAAAGCATGGAGAATTAACGTTTTTCTCCATTATCTTCTTGTATAAACGATCATGAATGTCTTAAAGCATCTTTGGATTTTGCTATATATTGGGCTTTAGGGAGGTCCAATATGAACTTTGGCCCAACAAGTAATCCTCAACATCCTTAGAACTAAAGCCACCTTTGAATCTAACTAAGACACGTTATGCAATCTCTAACACTGTTTTTAATGCAGTAGAAAATCAACAGAGGAGGAGGAAAGAGGATAAAAGTGAAGAAAAGTTTACTTTTTTAAAATGTTTGAAAGACAACCATATGTGAGAAGTGGGACTCACAAAAAAAAAAAAAAAAAAAAAAAAAAAAACCTCCACACTAATACGAGCTAATTTGCAAGAAATTTTGTAGCTGTGTTCAGCTATTTACAAAGACACAATGCAACATAACTGATTATGTTGATTTTTTTTTTTAGCTTCTCAAATTTTTTTATTTTTACTTTTTATCAAAAAAAAAAGTTAATAATTAATAAATTATATTAGTTTAGAGGATTCAAATATACTCTCGGTATCACTCCAATCCACTGTTTCTCCCCGCACACCACCTAAATCACCTTATAATTCCTAGGCTCCTCCTCATTGATTAGGATCCCCTTCCCATGTGTGCTTAATTGAATATCCCCACTCATGTAACACCTACAAATCCCCAAATACACTATTACCATGTCAACCATACTTGAGTTTGAAAATATATGCATGTATCACCATCTTAGCCGCTAAGCCTTCCAAGCTTTTCCCACTTTGCAATCACTTGAAGATCCATACACTTTAAACCTTGTGCAAGTTGGGGATGGACCTTCCAAGCTTGAACCTTCTGCACAGTCTTATGCCTTGGAATCCACAAAGCAAAAGATTCCAATTCTAAAAACAAAATTAGTGTGAAGGGTAACACAACACAGTATCCGAGAGACTCTGCAAACTTGAGTTGTTTCACCATGGGGAAATTTCGGTACAATACAAACTGAAATTAACGGTCTCTTTTCCACTGTTTTGAAAAGAAAAACATGTTTCTTCCCTTACATCAGTTATATGCATCAAACAGGTAAATAAAAATAACACTAATAAAGATAGATCCCACTAAGCAGCTTCCTAATATTCGGGTTATATACTAATGTCTAAGAACACTTGGCACCCAAATTTTTACTCTGAAAAATACTAGAAAATAAGAAACAGCTTCGTTTATATGTACATGAGCTGCAAAGGTTCTTTGATTATACTATCCTCTGATCTAAATGGGACATAGAAAACTACTTGCGCAATATAAAAACAAAATATGCAAGGAATCAATAACATTGCAAATTATAGGCAACAGATTACATAGTCAAATTTCTGTACTTGCACTAAGCCTTCTGAACCTTTTCCACATATGCCTGCAACCAAAAGGAGAATAATTATAAGCCAGCTGGAAAATAAATACATCTCAAATTCAATGCAGATTCAGAAGCTGCATAGATCATGATTCATAACTAGTAAAATAAAACATCTTTTTTGGGGGTATTGGAGGGAAGAACTCATAATACAAAACAACTTTGACATTAGGGATGAGATGGAACACAATCTTCTAGAGATCAGTCCGAATAATTTGATGGATTAAAGAAAAAGGATGCTCCATTCCGACCACAGTTTCTGATTCTCGACTAGACATACGGACTGTACCTTAGTTTCTCGACTGGAAACCCATTACCACCAAATGCCAAGCAAACATTATCAAATAAAAATAAGTATAGCTCTAATTTGAAAGAGTTGTAAAAAAACATATTGTTAAATTAAAAAATAATAAAGTTAGGAAATAAAAAATAAAAAATAAAAAAGAGTTAAGAAAAGGACGCTATAAAGTGTTTCTGCACATTTTTGGAATCACATGTTTAAGGCATAATTACATCAATCTACTTCGAGATTAGCATTAATTGTTGACATCCTTATAAGAAAAAATACTCCTATCATCCTTTTTAATTATAGTAACTACCAGTTTAGTCCTTCAAAATGTAACGCATTGTCACATTAATCTATGAAATTAAGTAAATTTTAAAGAAATCTTTGGAAGTACAATTTGTTAATCAAATATCTATAATATATATATATATATATATATATATAACGAAGTAATAACATTAACATTTTGAGACACCAAAATGACAATAAATGATTTAGGGACTCAGATGAAACAATTAAAAATGTTAGACTTATTTAAATTATTTTTTAATTTTATGAACTGATGTGACATTGCATTACATTATTAGGAACCAAAACAGTGGTTTACTTTTCTATTATAAGTAAGAGGGATGCGTAAGTTCTTTAGATAAGAAGGGTGTCAACAGATAAGAAGTACACTATTATGGGGAATGTAATATTCAAAAGGTTTAATTAATCTTTCAGTCCATATACTTGTCCCAAATTTTCGTTTTAGTCCCAATACCTAAAAATTTAATCCCATATTTATGAAACGTACAAACAGCTCTTGAAATTTAATCCCATATTTGTGGGTAACTTCCCTACAAATTTTTCAATATCTAAATTAAGCCTATTAGAAAATTTTGTGCGGTTACCGGAGCTGCATGCATATTCGTTCACATTCATCTACAAAAACCACGTTAAATGGGATACAAGATTTGGAATAATTCATACATCTGATGGAAATCTGTTAGAGAACCACCACTGACCTGTATAAGTTTGTTAACCTTTGGTTTTGATAATGATAAATAGCGGTCAATTTTCTCTTGTGTCTGAGGAATATGTCCCCGCTGCACTGTACCAGTTACTTTGTCAGTAACTTTCTTCACAATTGCTTTATAATCTTCCTTAGCGATTTTACCATCTTTCCATGTTGGTTTCAAAAGCTCCTTAACGAACTCAACCAATGAAAATTTAAATGCACGAATCCCCTTCACATCCTTTGTTTTCTTGGCCTCATCAGGCCCACTGTTTTGGTCCAAGTTTTTCATAGGACCATTCTCTTCTGTAATTTTATTTTCACATGAAGAACTTTGCTTTTCTTCGGCTACCACTTTGTTCTCCTTATTAACCTCAACATTTTCACCTTTCTGCAACTGAACTGAATGTTCACTCTTAACAAATTGTTCTTCCGAAAAGGCAGGCTTTGAGTTAGATTCATCAAAATGTTGTCCTAACTTGGATAACAGTGACGGAATTTCTGCTGTATCTTTTGGGATATTTTTACTTGGAGAAGAGGTAGAGGGAACCCCATTTGAATTAGCATTATTTGGCTCCCTACTATTACATTTTGGATCATACTGCTTCTGGAATCCAACAGCAGGATCTGGCTTGATGAATGTTATGGAAACAGGATTATCAGACCCTTCAGTTTTGCTTAGAAAGGGAGTATCCTTTGAGTCTAGAGAAATAGAGGTAGCATAAAGTTGCGGGAGCTGCTGACCTGCTCCGAGGATATGTGCCAGAGAAGCTGACAGGTTAGTAAGTTGAGCTAGCTGCTCTTTGCTTACCATGTTCTGAGTTAGAGGATTTCTTGAACTAACTTGTGATACATTTACATCCTGGATAGTAGGCTCAACAATGTATTTTTTCTCAGCAGAGACTTCCTGGTTTGGAATATCGTCAACAGTTCTCACTATGGGAGGAACAATGGAAGCTGCTCCTTGACTCTGTCCAATGGCGAGACAGCTTGAAGAATGCAAAGCATTTACATTCTGATGAAATACTTGTCCTGGCACAATGGTAGAGAAATTTAGGATTGCGTCATTTATGTGGGAATCAGCAGATTTGTTTGTCAATAGGTCAATGCAATAACACCATATTTTGCAAAAAATTGTTTTTCCAATAGCAAATTAAACAGTTTTTTAATGGACAAGGATGTATAGTTAGAGGAACATCAATCAAGCATGTAATTACCTGGAAGAACCTGTTGCTTACTCTGCCCATGCTCCTCTTTGATATGGGTGGAAGATCCCACACCATAATTCCAATCAGGAGACATTTTTTCATTACCAGGCCAAATGTCCGAGCCTACTGACTGGGAAGTGTGAACATTCGAACTATCATTTTTTGCTGTCCAATTGGCTTCCTTCATATCACTTGAAAATGGTGATTCATCATGCACTCTGTTCTTATCTAAGCTATGGTCCCATCCATCACTAATTGGCCAAGCAGGGAATCCAGGTTCTGGGGTGCCCATAAAATTTCTGTTATCCTCCACCAGCTTTGCTATATTAGAGACAACAACTAAATCATTCTGCTTGGAACCACCCCAAACTTTATTTTCATCAGCCGTACTACCGTCTAAACCCCATCTATCATCTCTTAGCCTTCCGTTGGGACTAACTTCATCACTCAATTTTGGCCTATCCAAAGCCTGATCTCCACCTTGACTGCTCCTCAACCTATCATCCCCAAATCTTCTATTTGGGCTCCCACATGCTTGCCAATCATGAGAAAACCTACAATGTTTACCATTTCGACAATTCCCAAATGCAAAAAATTTGCAAGGAATATCACCATTCTGGTTTGTACTGTATCGACCAACATGCTCGAAAGAACTCTCGGGGCGCCTTCTATCAATTTCCCTTTCCCTAGTTGATTCATCCACAGAACTGAATTGATCAGAATTGTCATGATGCACGTACTTGCATGATGCTCCCATTCTGCACCTTCCTTTTGCATAATTGATACAAGTGTCATTAGATCTTCCACTTGTACGAGAATAGTCCCCACTCTCATGGGGAGCAGAATATCTGGGAGTTCCATCATGCCTGTGTCTACTTTCCCAGCCATCATAATTTTGATTATCATGATGAAGGAAATGGCATTGGCTGCCTCTTCTGCATTTCCCAGCAGCAAAATCTCTACATGGTTGTGTCCTCATTCTATATCTGTCATTGACTCCTAAATCCCTCCTAAAACTACGTGGAGGGCTCCGACTCCTACTTCTGCTTTGATTACTCCTGCATCAAAGAAAGACCGACAAGTAAGAAAACCAGTTGTATCTAGAAATTAAGCATACACAACCATGTCAAAGATCTAAAATTTCTTGAGAATGGAAACTTAGTTTGAACTTATTATTATATGAAATATAAAGCAGTCTTAAAGTATTGAAACGACCTGGAAATTAAAGAAAATAGGTACCCAACTACCCATAAAGAACAAACACAGGCAAGAAACATTGGACAAAGCACAATCTGAAACAAGAGAATGGAACATTACAATGATACATCTTAATACACAAATTTTGGAAATTGCTTTTGAAACGTAAGTTTATCTAAAGGACCCAAGAACTTCTGCTTCTAAACTTTCCTTTATAATATAAATTTTTTTATATAAGCTATTGAATGTTTCACAAACAAGATGTTAGGATCCTTTCTTTGGAAGAGGTAAAAACCCAAGAAAACAGAACAGAAAGAAAGAAAGAATGCATTTCTTGGATAAACTGGAATCAGAAACAGAACAATTGTACAGAAATGTACCCAAAGCAGCACTCTCCAGTAAAACATACAGATTAAAAATCCCCGCCACCTATTCATTTAAAGGGTTATTTATAGTGGAAAACCAACAACTACAGCTAACCACTTACAACTTGTGACATTTGTGACAGACTTCTAACCAACTAATTCCCCCTTTTATTCTTCCTCCTATAATTGACTTGTAGGGTCGGTTTCGGAAGTTTATTCTCAAGCCAACTAACAAGATAAATTTTTGACTCAATGTTTCAGTGTTAACTATTCATGCAAAAACCCATGTTCATGACTATATGTATACAAGCATGAAAACATCAATGAGTGGAAAAGAATAATATTAAAATACAACACAACATTCATGAAACAACACATTCTCAAAAAAAGAACAAAAGTGTCTGGGTTTTGTCAAGTAATGGGTCAGTATCCAATTCATCCAGTTTCTTTTCATAGTTATTTGCATTCTCAATGGATGCATCATACATATGATTAAAATGTTTCAAACGTGTTTAAAGTTTAAACAGTTCTACTGAGTACTCAGAGGTGTCAAAGCATTCTCATGAGCAGTATATAGAAGACTTTTTCATGCATGATGAGGTTTGTTTATAGAATACTTTTTTATACAAAAACAACAGTTAAACTTATTAAGTATCGATTAATTTTCAGAAAATAGGGTCAGTGCACTGTGCAGATGTAAGTAGAGAAACAAACCTGACTGACCTACTCCAACCATTTTTTGGAGATTGACTGTACTTATTTTTACAATCCTCGGGCCCTGGAGACATTTCCATGCTGTAACTTCCATCAGTGTCCCGAGCATTTGTTGGATCCAAAACTCTGTAATCTTTATTTGTAATATCATCCTTACTTGGACCTCTGCCACCAGAAAAAGGTTCCTTGCCTGAAAACCCCATTCTGGGGTTTAACTTATCATTTCTTTCTAAATTGGACCACTTTGAACTATCTCTACTAGCAACACCTGTAGATGTCCCAGACAGCAATTTTTTAGTGGGTATTCACTTGAATGATATACATGTTTTATGGTAAATGGTCTAGCTCATGAAGATAAAAAACACATTGTTTTCCTGGATTTTAGCCTTTTCTTAAAAAAATAATCATAATTATCTTAATTTTTTATTTTATGGTTAAAAAGTTTTTTCTTAAAGCAAACATACAAATAAGCCTTACTATAAGATGCAAATTCAGGTTCATCTCTCGAATCCCACTTTGAAGAGGTCTTTCTGCCACTTCCGCTCATCTCACTCCCCAAAGCCTTAATTACAGCTTCGCTTAGACTAGTGGCAATGCAGAATGCTCTGATTTAGCTAAAACAACATAAGTAAAATAAAATAAATCAGAAACCTGAAATCTATCCACATTCTTCTAATATCCATCAGTAAAGGAATATGGCATGCTAGAAATAGAAACAACAACAATATCAAATGAATGACAGTATACAGGTTTTATAAAAAAGAAAGCACTAATGCAAGTAGTTCCACGAAAAGCTTCAAGAATTCAACCTACTCAAAGTTCGCACTTCACATCAACCATCCAAGTCATAAATATAATAGACCCTTTTAAAAACAAAAAAGGATTTAGTAAGACTGTAAGAGATAAAAGAACTTAGAACAGGATGGAGGATTACGAGTCCCCCTAATAGCCAAAACAAGAAGGTAAAAGGAAAAAATAAAAAATCATAAACTCAAAAAAGTTATCTGATGTTCAGCATATCTGGCAAATAAATCCCCGTAAAAGAAATAATGCACACTAAGCAGCAAAGAAAAACTATCGTATCCCAATAAAGATTTACGGGTAGAAATAACTAGGTGAAAATGTTTGCATTTCTGCATAATACAATTTTTACCATGAGGAACCATAACAATTTTCTATTAATATAACTGAGTTCAACTATAAAATCAAATTTATTAATACACTGACAGATTATGTAACCCGTCCCTAAGTTGCATGTGTACTTTCTATCTCTTTACGTCAAGAATGTTTATTGATACCCAAATTATTGTTTAGAGTGACTGTTGTATCTAAACTAAATCGTTGGGCAAGACTTTATAAAATAAATTTATAGATTGTAACGAGGGAGGAAAGAAATACTATACTTTTCTTGGCTGAATTTTATAGTATTCTTGTTAAACACGAAAAATGGTGTGAAAATCTGCAGAATGACTTTGAGAAGGAGAATTCAATACAATTTTTTTTCACAGCCAAGACATTTTGTTTTCTTATATTTTTTTTACACAGGAACAATTTTTTAAAAATTGCTTTAACTGGTAGTTCAGAAAATGAAATATTATTTTAAGATTGTTCAAGTTAAGGAAGAGAATTTTCATAGGCATATTATCCATTGTTATTTTGTTAACTTACCTGAACTAAATATGGCATATACAAAAGCCAAAATACCCTTAACTGATCGTCATGCTATCAAACTTTATAAAATGCTTACATGAAACCAATTAGATCAGTAATCCCGTTAAGTATATAATTGGGACCTAGGCGCCAGGGACTTTGTTGCGTCGCAAAGTATATCATTGGGACCTAGGCGTCAGGGACCTTGTTGCATCGCTTATGTGTACTTTGGAATCTAGGATGGGCTCACGTCCTTAAGACAACTACTATCAAAATGTCCTATTTAAACCCCTAATCCCACAAGATGATATAATAGCAAAATTCTCTCAATAATCTATACACCTTTTAGCAATGTTATCAATCTTCAGCTCTCAAAATTAGTTACAACCACTTCAGTTACTACTGGATTCAATAGTTAATAAGAGAATACGATTCTATGTTCTGAAAAATGATGCAAAATAATTTCATGAGATAACAAAGATGCTCTCAAACTTGACTCTTAAAATTTCAAACGTATACAATAATCTAAGAACTCTTTGGAAAGCTTACGTGCATTCTCACAATATCATGAAAAATCTATATTCATGATAAAACTGGTACAACATTTTTGTGACACCTATAAGATTCAACAGTTCTCAACAATAGGTCACTCACATAACAGATGGATACTACAAAGTTTCTTGAATTATTTCTTCAATGCTTGTTCAGATGACCATTCAAAATTGGTGTATCCAGTAAAACTTTGTACATAAGATGACACATCCTTTCTAGTTCTTGAAAAAGCCAGGGTTTAGGCAGCTAACTCAAAATATTTCAAAATTTTGAAACAATCTCCACTCCAAAACAGACCAACATAGATTGACAAATGTGAGAACATCCAATATTGCTCATTTACTCGGAGAAGGATCAAATGGCATCTGAAACATTTACACCAGCTACTTTGAGCGCACTCTGTAACCTCCACGCATTGATCACATGAGATTACTGCAGCAAAATTGTATCTAATTAGCACTTACTCTCACGAAGATACATACAACTAAATCATAGAGAAGACTTCCAACTCTACTACCTATTGTCTTGGCATCTACTTAATCCAGCTGGTATACGGTATATGGATGAAAACTATAATATTTTAGGATAACAAGAGACTAAACATGTAATCATTTGACCAATAAGTAGGAGTGACTTATGGGCCAACTATAGTATTAAAAAGTGTTTTCTCAGTGAAGCAAAGGTTTTTTACACAAGACTACTACATTAATCAAAAAACTATCTATCTCAATCATGTAAACTTACTACCTAGCATACATTATATTGAATAACAGCACAAACACACCTGAATTTGCAATTTAAGCACAGAATATGTAGGAAACAAGAGAAGCAATATCATGATTAAAGCCGATGGCGAAACACAGCAACTTTTTTCCAAAACTAAATGCCATAATGCTAGTTTCTTTGTATAACATTAAAACCATTGAACAAGAGATATGCCATATCAACATAAGAGGAAGAAAGAATCACATTCAGTACTGTATTTCATTAATCATTGCTATTAGCCTAAAACTCTTCGAACTGATGTTTGGACCTAGTTCGATACTTTGATTTTAAAAAGGTAACTCATGAGGAGAGTGATATTCCTCATACGGAGACACTATTTTAGCCGTATCAGTATCACTAGTCAAGATAAGATCTCCAACACACACCCTTCACACAGAAGAGGGAACATCTTGAGCATGAAGTATTACTGGTCAAGATAGGATCTCTAACATACCTCTCACACAGAGGAGGGGAGATCTTGAGCTTGAAATTTGTGGGAGCAGGTGGTCCGGATAGCTAGATATGGCCAACACAACAACAGTTAAGTTAGGATACCGCCTTAGAATTTGGGGTTGATTCTAAGTTCTAACACAACAGGTGAGAGTGGTCCCTACACTATTCTGGTCATACATCTAGTCAATGTGAGACACAAATTAGCAGAAAATAGAGGAAGAAACTCTAAACACAACATTAATAAGGTTCCTAATTCACGTTTCTTCAATCACAATTCAGAACATACAAATATCCAAAAATCATTCAGATTTAAGCACAAAACGCAGAAATAGGCATGGAAAACAAACGATTGGAGTGAAATTGAGGCAAAACATCATACAGAAAAAGGCATAAAACAATAGAATTTGAATAATAATAAAAACCCTAGAAGTAGAAGGAGGTTGAGAAAACTGACGAGTGAGTTAGGGAAGAGCGCTGAAGTGCAGAGGAGAAACCCTAGGCTTCCGCGGAAAGAAGCCAAGAAATGAAAGCATGAGTTTGATTTAGGGTTGGAGTGATGAGAGGAGAAATGGAATTGGAAGTAGAAGAGCAGCCTGAAAGCGAAGGTGAAGCTGCAGATGCCGCCGTTTCAACACACCACTCCTACTCTTATTCTTTTTCTTCGGTTCACACTTCACACACACTACAGTACCATTATTATTTTCTAGACAAACAGAAAGTCATTCTCATTTTAAAAAAATAACATCTTTTTTTATACATTATATGTATAATAAGGCTGATCACTTTTATTATTATAGATTATTACTGTATAAAAGATATTTTATAATTTTGTCAATTATTTTTAAAAATAATAAAAATTACACGATAATAAATAATTATTAAAAATACAAACAATTACTTATAAAATAGATAATTATTTATGATGCGAAAGAAGTTTGAAAAATAAAATCAATCCCATGAGTTAGAACTAAGTGATTATAAAGGGATGTAATAGTTCAATAAATGTGTAATCGGAAAAAGCATCATATTTATTATAATTATAGGTTATAAATAAATTATAAATTATCTTTCTTTCAAATTATTCTTAACCACATAATGTAATATTTATTGAATTTAAAATTTAAATAAAATAAGGGTATAATTAGTATAGTAATAATAACAATAATAATTAATATGATTTTAAAATTATAAATAGATAAATAACTAAAAAAATTTATTTTAAAAGTAAATAATTAAAAATTAAAAGAAAGAATATAAAATTTCAACAACATTATTATTTTCGTATCTACACAAACATGAATTTTATGAGTAAATCATTAATTGTATATTTTTTAAAGAAGTAATTAAGAAGATATTTGAACTCACAACTTTTTCTTTATCTTTCGTCATCAAAATTATTAAGGTGTTTAGTTGAAGGAATCAGTGAGAAATAAATGAAAGATTAAAAAAATTGATTGTGTTTGGTAGAAGAAAAAAAAAAAGAGAAACAAATAAAGTATTTTTAAATAATGAAAAAATAGACGATTCTATAAACTTTATTGATTAAACACAAAATTAATGAATTAAAGTTTTTTAATACGCAACACGGTGACTTTTAATAATTAGTTGGTTGACCATGTTTTCGTGTTTCCTAATCAGTTAAAATATTTGATTCAATCATTAAAATAAAAAAATTAAAAAATTAAAAAATATTTCTTTTTTTTACTTATTTTTATTTATTTATTCTTATTTTCTCTATTTACATTCTACCAAATATATTATTATTATTATTATTTTCTTTCACGTATTTCTATTCTTCTAAACTAAACATTCTAATTTTTATTTTATTTTTTATTTAATTCTATTCTCTTATTTATCTTTTTAATATTTCTTTTCACTATATTTTTCACTTTTTTTCATAACTAAACAAAGTAAATCATTTAATTTATTTTAGTTATAATGCACATAATACTATTATATAACAAAATTAAATATATTTCTTATAAAATAAGTTATAGAATTTATTATTTGATGTATTTTTCATTAAAAAAAATATAAATATATGCATACAATTATCTTTTATCTCTTTTTTTATTCTATTTTCTTCTCATGTTTTTCTAACAAATCACGAATATTGCATTGTCTATTTTAATATTATAATATTTTGTTATTTATTAATTTTAATATTAAAATAATAAATTTTATTAATTACATAAAATTAAAAACCGCATGTTTGGTATGGGCTAATCGCGAGTTTTACATGTTAAATAGTTGTTTTGGCCCACTTATATTATTTTTTTTTATCCAACATGTTAAATAGTTGAAAACTGTAAAAAACGTAACGTATTTCTAGATGAGAAACTTCAATAAAATTTATAGAATTGAAAATTAGCAAATTGTTCGATAACGATCTAATGGTAGGTAAATTGGTAAGTTTAATAAAAAAAAAGTTAAGATAAACTCTAATATCGTCTTAAAAATTGTATAATCAGTCTAATTCATTATTATTAAGAGCTTAAATCTTGTCTTAGGTAAAGAAACTTCATGCCTTTCCCTATGACATTTCATCATGTCATTATCATTATTTAAAATTATACGGTAAATAATATTTATTTTATCTTATTTTATTGAATTTTGATAGTTGATTTACACGCATTTATTATTGGAACAAATTTAAGATTCACATTGACTAATGATAAGAGCAAAATAAAATATACAAATACAAACAATTCTCAATTTATAAGTCAATTTTATAACCACGTTCTAAGATAGTATTATACCTATCTTAAAGTATGTTTAGATATAAGTTAGAAACATTTTTAAGAGTTTCTCTACCAGAAATAAAGATTTATTTATGTTAAACAAGTTCTCAAAAACACTTTCGAACATATACCCAGATAGACTTTTAGATCAATTAAAAAATGTCACTCAATATTTATCCACGTATCAAGTACAATAAGTACAATAGCACTAGACGTAAGAGAGAGTATTAGAAGAAAAATAAAATAAAGTTTTACATCAGCTAAAGATAAATTTAAAATAAAATATATAAAAGAGGATAACTCTTACTTTACAGATTAATTTTACAGGGTTAAGTTAAGTCCAAATTGATCTTCTACACTTGTTATATATTTTTTAATTTATTCTAAGGCTTCTCGATTGTTTTGATTTTCATATTTTTTATATTCAATTTTATTTTAAACTCGCATTTTGTTTTTTAATGTGTTTTATATTTTAATTATTCTAATAATTACATTTCATATTTTTCATTAAATTATAAAGACACTTTTATTTTTTTACCGTTAAATTTAAATATAATGAAATTACTACACTTTTTTTATTTTTTATCATTAAATTTAGATATAAATTTATTTACAAAATAGTATTCTCTTACATAAATTAGTCATTTATCACATCACATCAAAGTTAAGACAAATAAATGTGATATCTTATGTAAATTCACTTACATTTAATTATTTAATCATGTATTCTAAAATTTATATTATGTAATATTTTTAATTTTGTATTTATTACCTTAAAAATATCGTTAGAAAGTAAAAATAATTATTTATTTATCTTAAATTCATTGCTAGAGATAAAAAAAATAATGATTTTAGATTTTAAAGGGATAAAAATTAAAAGAAAATTATTTTATAGGGACCAAAATCAAAATTTACTCATTTTATAAAAAACAAATATTTTACAAAGACAAAAAAGCAATGATTACAAATTTTAGAAGGATGCAAAACAAGAAAAAAAATTACAGTGATCAAAATCAAAACTCATTAATTTTGTAAGGACAGAAAACATATTTAAGTTTTTTTTTTATTGTCTAATTAGAGTAAAAAAAACAATTATAAAATATATGTTGAGTAAGAATATTAATTATTTAATGAGTGACAATAAATTAAACTAATTAAAAAATAATTTGAAATTTAATTTGAAAATTAAGTCTTTAAATTTGGTAAATAAATGAGTCAAATTTTAGTTATGTATAGTTTGACTCGTTTATTTTATGATTGACTTAACATATAAATATATAATTTATATAATTAACTTTCTATTTAATTTTAGCTTATTTAAATTTGAGTTTTTTTTCAACATTTAGTTATAAGTTAGTAAAAATAAAAGAAGTAAACACTTTAAAAATTCATGGCTATAGATTAGGTTTTATATTATTTGATGTTAGGTGAAGTAGTTTTAATTTATACAAACTTTAGTTGCAGGTATGTTTCTTTTGGTCATACGTTATAATTTTGCAAAACTAATAAAATAAGTTATATTTTGTCTTTTAAAAAAATAAACAATTATTTTATCTAAAATTTATTATTAAATTAAAATTATAAAATGTATAAAATAAAATAAAATAAAAATCTTGATTCATATAATTCAAACTAATAAGCTCAACGGAACTACTAGTGAACTTGAACTGAGTCAAGTTCAATTTGAAAAAAAAAAGGTTAATGTCATATTCAACTTGAGTTGTGAATTGAGCCAAATGTTGTCCAATCAAATTAAGTCGAGTTGAATTGAATTTTTTTTAACTTGACTCATTTCTAACATTATTTTGACCAAAATTAAAGATAATTGATTAGATTTTTTTAATATTTATTAATTACTCTAATTTGTATTTTAAAATAACATACACCACTTAACGATAATAGAAAGATAATAAAATCTGGATTTAAATATGAAAGATGACTATAATTAAATATTCAAAATCCAATAGTTATAAAATAAATGTTGAATTTGGATATTAATTACAATATAGACTTTTATAAATAATTATTTTTAAAATAAGATTCTCGATTTAAAATAATTATATTTTGAATTTTATTAAGTTTATAATGATTTCATTATTATTTTAATTTCCATAGTTTAATAAACTTTACAATTATTCTGTATAGTTAATAAAATTTCATTTTCAAATTTATTTATATATATATATGATGAGGGTTCAAACGACACCGGTATAACTTTTACTAAGTGTTACACCGCTTAATAACTTTATATTAAATGTGAATTTTGAAAATTCAACCGTTAGATTGAAAGTTCATATCTCTTAGATTATATATGTCAAATTTTGTTAAAATTGAACAACAATTTGAAGGTAATCAAAGTGTTCATATTTTAGTATATTTTAAAATGTATATATTACGTCAGTTTTGTTTTATGAGAATGAAATATCAAATCATCTTGGATTACTATAAAATTTTGTGTATATGATCTAAGAGATATGAACTTTCAATCTAACGGTTTAGATTTACAAAATTCACATTTAATATAAAGTTATTGAGCGGTGTAACACTTAGTAAAAGTTACACCGGTATCGTTTGAACCCTCCTATATATATATATATATATATATATTTCTTTTGATCTTTATAATTCCATAAACTTTAACATTTAGTACTTATATATAATGGTAGATAATAAAGATTAAAATAAAACAAAAATTATATATATATAAATTAAAATAATATTTTTAACTATAAGGACTAAATATAAAATTCATTAAACTATAAGAATTAAAAAATATTTAAACTATTTATAGTTAATTTTTATTTCCTTGTATGATAAAAAGTAATTAGTATTAAATATAAGAAAGTGGTTAGCAATAAAGGTAAATGGTCTTCGGTAGTTAACCGGAGTGTGTAATAAAAAATCATAAAAAAAAGTTATTTAAAAATTATAGAGGTAACATGGTGAATAAAAAATGTACATAAAAATTATTCATTAATAGTATAGATAAGAGGACAATTTACAATGTTACTATGTGAGTGATCTTAAATATGTAATTTATTATGATTTTAATTATATAATAAACATCTGTTCATAAAAAAAATTATATAATAAACATTTAATCTATAAAATTGATAGATTAAAGTTCTATTGTAGTATATATTTTGTATGAAATTGTGAAAATTAAATGTATTCAATTATCTTCCTATGTGAAATTAGTTTTTTTGTTGTTTATATATAATTTCAAACATAATAGTTAATTAAAAAGTGAAATAAAAATTGCACTTAAATATGTTTTTGGTTGTTGAAGTATAGTAAGATACGATTTTAATCTCTCGAATTTGGATACATGAACTAATTTTAGTCTTATAGTTACGCAAACGCAAGTGTATTTGTATTTATAAGGTTAAGTATGATACATATATATGGAAAGAGTAAAGAGAAAAGTGAAAAGGAGAGGAGACATGACATAGGAGATAGGACAGCATTATTTACTCTGATTTGACAATGTTGTGAACAAGAGACGACAGTCTTCCCTCATAATCCACTCACATTTTCATGAATAGCAGCATCTCCTCTCCTCCACCACATCAGAATGGGAAGGCTATAAATAGTATACTCTCTTTCAGCCAACATTCAATTGCATTTGACGCATCATGCCTTCCCTCTTCTACCTCTCTCTCTCTCTCTCTCTAGCTCTCGCTCTCGCTCTCATTTTATCCCTCTCCACCGCCCAGGAGCCCATCCATGAAGCCTGCGCAGCCACGCGCTTCCCAGACGATTGCGTCTCCAACCTCATGCATTCCACCCTCCCGCCCACCGCCACCTCTCTGCAGCTCCTCCACTCCGCCATCTCCATCTCCGCCGACAAACTCGCCGCGGTCCAGAACTTGGCCAAGGGCATCTACCAATCCGCCGGGGACAGCCGCAACCGCAGCGTCGCCGCCGCCACCTGCATCGAAATCCTCGCCAACTCGCAGCACCGCATCGCCCTCGCCTCCGACGCCCTGCCACGTGGCGGAACCAAGGACGCGAAAGCCTGGCTGAGCGCCGCCCTCGCCTACCAGTACGACTGCTGGAACAGCTTCAAGTACGCCAACGACACCCGCGAGGTCGCCGCGGCGATGACGGCCATCACCAATCTCATGGTTGCCTCCAGCAACGCCCTCAGCATGGCGTCCGCGCTCTACGCCTACGGAAGCGACTCGGCGGCGTGGAAGCCACCCGCCACCGAGCGCGACGGCTTCTGGGAGCCCGTCGGGGCGAGCGGCGGTACCGGAGTCCCCGGGGTTCCGTCGAATTTGAAGGCGGACGTTACGGTGTGTAAAGAGGGAGGGAGCGGGTGTTATAAGACGGTGCAGGAGGCGGTTAACGCGGCTCCGGATAACGGCGTTAAGAGGTTTGTGATATATATAAAGGAAGGGGTTTATGAAGAAAGCGTTAGGGTTCCGCTGGCGAAGAGGAATGTGGTTTTCTTGGGCGATGGCATGGGCAAAACGGTCATCACCGGCTCTGCTAACGTTGGCCAACAGTTTATGACAACTTACAACTCTGCGACCGTGGGTATGATTTTTCATGTTTTATTTGATTTGAATGATTAATCCAATCCATGCATGAGTGATGGTTTTGATCGCAGCGGTTCTTGGCGATGGATTCATGGCTAAGGATCTGACAATCGAAAACACTGCGGGTCCCGACGCCCACCAAGCAGTGGCATTCAGATTAGACAGTGACCTCTCCGTGATTGAGAATTGCGAATTCTTGGGCAACCAAGACACTCTCTATGCTCACTCTCTGCGCCAATTTTACAAGTCATGCCGCATCCTGGGCAACGTCGACTTCATATTCGGCAACGCCGCTGCAATTTTCCAAGACTGCCAGGTCCTAGTTCGCCCCAGGCAACTCAGGCCAGAGAAGGGAGAAAACAATGCCATCACTGCACATGGCAGAACAGACCCTTCGCAAGCCACCGGCTTTGTTTTCCAGAACTGTTTGATCAATGGCACCGAGGAATACATGGCTCTCTATCGCCGCAACCCCAAAGTGCACAAGAACTATCTGGGTAGGCCCTGGAAGGAGTTCTCCAGAACAGTTTTCATCAATTCATTCTTGGAGGCCCTTGTGACGCCCCAGGGTTGGATGCCATGGAGTGGTGACTTTGCTCTCAAGACCCTTTACTATGGGGAGTTTCAGAACACGGGACCTGCTGCTGATTTGTCTCATAGGGTGCCATGGAGTAGCAAGATACCTGCTGAAAACGTGTTAACGTATTCAGTGCAGAATTTCATTCAAGGAAATCAGGTGTCATCATCTGCTGCTGGCCCATCGTCGTAAGGGGCACCCCTTTTGTTAATTCCCAATTACCAATACAATAACAATATTATCCGGTTTAGGAACATATTCAAATCAATCTGAGACGTGCTGCTAAATACCATGACGTGTTTTATCGTAATATGTTTTTCGAATGTTTTGTTTATCATTCATAAAGGTGAAAAGAGGAACAAGAGGACTACAATCTAACAATAAATACAGAGACATTGTGTCTGCTAATAACAGATTATTATTATTCTTTTTGAATATTCGGGTAAGTAAAGAGGATTTTCATTTTTGTTAAAAAATAAAAAAAAACATGTCTGTGGGCGTAAAGTATTCTCAATAAAAGAATAATTTGATCAATTTCCATTTTCTCACATTTTCAAAGGATATTATTGAATGAGTACAAATAATAGACATCGTGATTATGATATCTTACAAATTTTAATGGTTAACTAAACAATTTTAAAATATTACTTTATTTCAAAGAATGTTATTTCTTAAATGAAAATAAACAATTCAGAAATGATTTTTTTAATAACAAAACTTATGTAAAAGTACGGTTGATATATTTTTTTTAAAATCAAAATTAAAGTTTTGTCACGGTATTATATATTTATATTTAATACATGTCTAATTAATGTGTAATTATGTATATTAAAGAAGTAAAGTTCTAACTTTGATTTAAGAAATATTAATTACACTTGAAAAAAACTTTATCTAAATTATTTTTCAATTTTTTTAATCAGTAATGGTGCCACTCTCCGTCTAAAGAAAACACCTCTAACTGTTTTTCCATCATACTATACTAATGGCATAATAAGCAGAAACGTTTTAAAGAAGAATGGCAGCACACTTTCTCTAATAACATTGACAGTGTTAGAAAGTCCTAAACTGCGGTAACAAGGAAGTTGGGTATGGTTAGTGGGTTACCTTACCTTTATTGAAAGAAGTTAATGGTGTTGTACATATGGCAGACGCACGTTGGCCTCTACTTTGAGCTTTGGCAAAGGGTGATTTAGTTGCTAATGCGTCCCATTCCCATTAATAAATATTATACATGCATGTTCCCATTGGGACATCGCCTTGATAAGGATTGCACGTGAACGAGAAAGGAATCTGATCTCAACCAGTGCTAGGAGCACTCGTTGATAAAGAAACACCAGTGGTTTTGGTTGGTCATTTTACCAAGAATATTCACATGATCAAAGTTTTAACCCCCGACGCAACGCAAGTATGGGCTGTTTCTTCAAACTCTACAGTACCAACCACAGTCCTTGGTTGTCCCTACTCCCTACAACCAATTACATTGACTTGAACATTGTAGAATAGCACTAATGGTTCACATGAGGTACTTGCTAATAATGTTAGCGATAGTCACATGTTGCCGAAAGGTCTCAAAATACTTCCAAATCAAAAATGATTGCTTCACAGCTCACAGTTCACGTGAGGTTGTTCACCACCATTCATCGAACATTGCCCTCCTAATAATCCTGTTTTATTCATATACTTTTTTCCAACAACATACCATTTCATTTTGAAGTTTTTGATACGAGACCGAATTTGTCTCATTACTTTAGATTAAGTCATAAAATATAAAAGGTTGGGCATAGCGAGTGCTTCAACTAAATTTGCAATTGCTGCGGTTATGCTATTTTTGGAGATTGGTTAGGCACTACATAATAAATTAATAATAATCCATTCACAACTTGAAATTGGCGCCACCAATAGTGAATGTGTGGTCTCTCCACTACCTGCACTACCACTACCTGCTTCAGGATCAATAATTAAGATAGCCATAGAGCTAGTATAGGGTAATATCCATTTCCTAATAAACAAGTGCTCTTATTCTTGGACAAGTCAATATAATAATGACCAGGTTTGTTGGTTCCATGTGTAGATGGAATATTATGGCTGATAATCACGCATGGGTTAGTAGTGATTAAACCACCACCCTCTATGGAACTCGATTGTCAAAGAGTGGTTGCTAATACTATCATATAGTTGAATAATATGGTGTGTTGGTTCAACCAGTTATGGATCTGTCCCCAACCTTGTGTTTCGTGACATTTACCGAATGCCTTGCACGTGAAACCTGTAATGGAATCCAACTTATTATTTTTCCCCTTTCATTTCAATATGCTTGTCACGAGAATGACACGAAATGGTAATAAATATTGAAATAAGAATAATTTGAAAATAAAGTTTCCAACAAAATTTATTTAATTTTTTTAAAAAATAGAAAATTTGTCAATTTAAAGAAAAAATAGAAAAAATTATTTTATTAGACAATATTGTTCTATGAAAAAATAATAAGTTTAAGAGTTGATTATCCATATGAAAAGGGAAAAAAATCCAATTTTATGACACTCATGGCATTTTTTTTATTTTTATTTTTTATTTTTTTTATTTGTAGCAATCAAATTCAGCATCAAAAAGTTATAACAACTCACACACACTACTCAATATTCATTTAAGCTAATAAACCAAACTTTCTTTTTATGCACACTCTTAATTACCACATCTAATCTAAAATGATTATTTTCAAAGTTGCTTGTATAAAATTTATAGTAGCTTCATAAAAAATGCTGTTTTGTCCTCTTTTAATTAAAATGTAAGAGAGTAATTTTTTAAAAATTAAAAATTTGAATCGCACTTTTTGTCATTTTATAACACAATTCATAATTTTGATTTCCTAGATTTTAATTCTACAATTTTTTTTATCTTAATTCTATAAAATTTGTAATTTTGGTTCTTTTACTGAATTTTCAACTGTTAATCATTAAAATTATAATATTGATCATAAGTTGATATTAAAAAAATAACATAATAATTAATATTTAATAATATTTGTACATGATATCACTCTTAGTTTCTATTTTTATTTTATTTTGTTTACCACTTTTATGAGATAAAAAATTATAAACTAAAAGTAAAATATATCTTAAATATTATTAAATATTAATTTTTATGTCATCTAATTAATATTAGATCATATCAATTTTATAATTTTAATGATTAACGGATAAATATTCTTATGAGAATCAAAATTGTGGGACTAAAATTGCAAAAATTAAAATTTCAAACACCGAAATTACAAATTAGATACTATTTAAGGATTAAAAGTACAATTTAGCCAAAATAAAACAAGTAAAATTGAAAAGAAAAAAAAAGGTAAATTAAAAAATATATATGGTAAAAGATTTTAGAAAAAATAATTTATTTTGGCAAATATTTGTTTTGTTGTTTTAGAAAATTAAAACTATTTTGTAGTTTTCTTTTGGTAAAGTTTTTATTATGGTGGATTTTTTCTTATTTAATTTGCTAATATTTTACATAAGATAATTTACTTTAAAAAAGAATCTACATTGCTCGATACTTAAGAATTGATTAATTAAGAAAATTATAAATGAAAACTATTCTTTACATAAGTGAGAATTTACATTGCTCGATATTTAAACAAAAGTGAGAATTCTTCTTATGCTAAGAAATGAAAATTATAAATTTAGATCATTCTTGGATGATCAAAATTAATGAATAAGAAATGAAAATTATAAATTTAGATCATATACTTGAATGATCAAAATTAAAAATTAATTAGTGGTCATGTGACTACTTAAAAATGATGTGTATATTATTTACCGAAAACGATGTGTATATTTTTATTTTTTATTTTAACTATTTAAATATTTTTTTATTGTCTCTCATGACTTTAAAATGTTTGATATAAATATGTGACGTCCTTTCAATTCGTATAAATTTTTATGATATTAATTAATTCATTAAAATATGAATTGTACAATTTTCATTATAAAAGTCTTTTTATAAAAAAATTATAAGTGCTTATATTTCTATATAATCTTTTAAATTCTACAAGAATTTAGTAAGAGAAAATAGTTTTTTTTACAGAACGAAAGTAGTCTTTTAAAAATTAAAATCTAAAACATATCCTGAAATTGATTTTTTCCCATTAATATCAGATCAAATATGTAAACATCCTAATTATTATAACAAATTATTAGTTTCTCAAGAAAAATAAGTTTAAAAGATTGTTATTTTTTTTGAAAGCCACCTAAATTTTGTGTTAATAATCTTCCTTATGAACACTTTTAAAATTGTAATATAAAAAATAAAATAAAATTAGCTTTCATTTCAAATTTCATAGAATCTTTTATTTAAAAGTTGATAGTTGATTTTAATTTATAAGAGATGTTTAATTCATTTATATATAAAGTTTAGATGAGTTGAACTTCCCTAATATTTTTTTATAAAAAATTTTATTTAGACATGACGACTCTTATATTAAGTCGAATAAGTGAATAAAATAAATCTTTGTAAATCCCTTTTGATTTACACATAAAAGAGGAAATTATATTTTCTAAACTTTCTTAAAATAATTTTTAGACATTTAACCCCTAACAAACACTAAATTGGTTGGATCAACCCTAATTGGAAAATATGTCCTCAATCCATTATATAACTATTCTCCTTTCACTTTTGAAACTAAATAACAACACTACAAAGGATATTTTGGCATATAACTATATAAACAAGATCTCATATTATTAAAATAAAAGGATAAAATAAAGGTTTATATATAAAATATATACATAGTTCATTGGTGAGAGATTTTTTTAAGTGATGATCAAAAGTAAAAATTTAAAGATGTAGGTTTAAAGTGCACACTATCTTATTATTGTAAATTTTTTTTTAATCCAATAATAGTCTGACAAATAACAAAAAGTATCATACCATTCTTGTTAAATATAAATCACAAACAAATCAACAAAATAACCTAAGAGGATAAACATGATTAAAATAGAAGAAAGATGGCCAAGAAGAATTGGGGAGGTCATACATTATAATTTACAAATTTGTTTAGGTAAATTTCTTTGAAATGGAATTGATGAGATTTGTTATAATATTTGATCAGACTACATAATAGACTCAACACAAAATAGTTGGAGGGTACAATATACCATATTCATGCACAAACTAAAGAAATATTTTTTCCCTTTATACCATTTTCCTACACCAAGAATAAAGAAACTTAACAATGAGTCAGAAAGAAAAATTCACTTGTCATAAACCAGAAAAAGATGATGTTGCAATGGCAGGTGGTGTTGGAGTATAAGACTCATCATCAGTCCAATTGGTCTCTCCCCAATGCTTCAACATATTTTTCCATGAGCACAAATTATCTATGCATTTTTTCAACCTCTTATCTTTAACTTTAAATCTCCAATGCCCGTTTGAATAGTTTGCAATTTCAGCTTGCCTACGATCCCATTCCAACTGTGCCTTTTGCTTTGACTTCAACATGCAAAACTGTTGCAAAACCTCAGGCATCGCATCATGCACCTTCCACCACTTTTCATGAGCCACATCACTTGCAAACTCATGAAAGATATCAAAATTCCAGTTACAATCATAGTCCCTAAAGCACAACCATGGCTTCATTCCTAGGTAGTGAAGGACGTAGAGAATTGGAGGGTCAGCACCAAACAACTTAGTCTTCATTTGTTTCTTCTCTTCCTCATCACCAACCCAAAAATGCTTTAAAAAGTTCATGTGCCTTGGTATCCTATGCCACCATGTAAATATTTCATTCAAGTATCCTTGGTCCCCTCCATTGTAGGACTCAAACTCATTAATATGATCCATTAGGAGTCGGAATGTGCAATTTGATGGCTCAACCACCATGACACCTGAGTTGAAAAGTGTGGCATTATTTCCAGTTGCAGTTATTTCTGGCATTCCAAATAGGAAGTCTATATTTCTTAGTATGAGCAAATCTGCATCAATGAATATTATCTTGTCATAATCTGTTAGCTGCCACAAACGGAACTTGCTGTAGTTCCATTCATTGTAGGCATTTTTTTCAGCTTTTGGATTTCTAATCCTTTGTATTGTCCTAATTTTCCACCCTGCAGCTTCTAAACCACTTTTGTGGTACTCACTTATTGTCTCATCAACGAGTATAACTAGGTCTCGAGTTGATCCAGACATGCGAATGCTTTGTGCTGCAGCAATAGCTCCACAAACATACACATGAGCTGAATGGAGAATTGTTGCATATGCTTCTCTACGAACATTTCCCGCGTAAATCAACTCTGCTTCAAGTTAATTCAATTTTCACATGTCATGTATATAACAGAAAAAAAAATATTGAAGAGTAGAAAGAATGATAAAGTTATACTACTCATGGATGAGAACTTATCAAGTCTATTTTAAGTAGAAAAAGTAATTTTTCTTGGTTATGCAAATATTGAGTTTCAACAACTTTGCTTCTTCTGAAGAGAATCTCATTATTGCATGAATGTATACTTTGTAGATTGAATTTGTGATTCTTGAGTTTTCATTAGGTTCAAAATCACCGTTATATTAAGTAACATATGAGATATAAACTCATAAGTTAGATGCATTAAAATTTTAGGTTAAAATATGATGTCAAGACAATTTTGTGTTGTTCATAATTTATAATGTTCTCCTAGTGTTTAACTCTCGTGCGAACATATACAAGTTCCTTCATCATACAATTATGAAATTTTTGTGATGTTATCATGCTATGTCTATCTGTGTGTGAGAAAATAGAGTAGAACTAACCTTTTCCCCTCATAGGAAGTGCAAGTTCACAAGATCCTACTGGGAGGTGAAGTTTTTCTCTCAAAACATTCAAGTTTGGTTTGTATAGCCATACATTCCCTTCATGTCTCACAAGATCTTTGCAGGTAAACAAATTAGGTATCGGAAAGAATTTGGTAACAAGAAGCACATACAAAGGGTAATTGCCTTTGAAAGAGATTGCAAGCTTAGCTGTTGCTAGTTGCAAGTGCAACCGAGCAACATCTCTAGACCAATTCCCCCCATTGGCATGAGGAAGCTTCACAGCTATCAGATTGAGCCTTATTCCAGGAGATCCAAGACTTGGGAGAGAAGGACAAATTGGAACCTCGGTTTGTTCTTCCTCATCAATCCATTCTGGGTATAAGGATTCCCATGTCACATTTTTTGCAGCATACTCTAGGTCCAGAACAACATGTGTGGCATTAGGAATAAGTTGTTCCAATATGTGTAACTCTGTCTTATTGAAGTTTAGTAGGCCAATTCCTTGAACTTCTTTTTTTCTTGTCAGTTTCTCTGTAATTTTTGATATATCATCCCAGTTAATATCTACATTTGATGTGTAACGAGGATCTGAGCCACCCCATATCCATCTGTTCACAAAATTTGGCCTGCATGATATAATTTTGACACAATGACTTGATATTATTCTTAACTCCATTTTTACTATATATCAAATTATTAGGTGAGCATGATTGTTGCAGAAAAGAATTTCAAAATTATTGAAAAGACTACTAACATGACACAAATTCCAAATATATAATGATAGATTCAGCCAGTACTTTGTCTTTTGAAATTTATGAATGAACAATGTAAAATAATATGTCACCCTATGTCATCAATGTCAATTATTGAGAATCATATTGTTACTGCGTCACAAAATGAAATAACTTAGAAGCAATACCAAGGTTTTGGACATCTCAAATTAACAACATATTTGTGAATTTAGGAGGAAAAAGATTATTTGCATTACTTGTTGGACATATTTGCATGTGAAGAAAAACAAAAAAAGATATATAGTAGGAACAATTGAACATACTTAAATGTAGTATATGCTTACCCAGAGCTAGAGCTTGATAAATGGTTGTTGCAAACCTTTGGAGAATAAAGGAGCAATAGAAAGGTGCCGCAAATGGTTATGAATTGGACAAAAGGTTTTAAGAAAGAGAATTTGCATCTTGAGCTTCTATCTTGGATGGATAAGTGGATAGACTTCTCTACATCTTTTGCATTTCTTTTTGGTAATCTTCGTCTGTATAAATCTACACTGTACCATGTAATTACTCAAGATCAAAAACAATAAATATAACAAAAAAATGTAGAAAATATATTAGAAACAATTACAGATTAAAGATTTAATTAAACTCTAGCAAGCTTCAAAGTGATGGAAGGAACTTTGTAGGCAAACATCCGTGTTTGAAAGTCAGATTTATCAGTTTTTAACTGGTTGACAAACTGTATAATTTTAGTTTTTTTAGAATTGTGAGAAATAAAAATGTTAGTTATTTTTTTATTTAAAAAATTTGTAACGCATAGTTGCGGATTTGGGTTGTCCACTATGAGCAAGGCCGAACGCAGCCCAACTGATAGCGGATCAAGTAAAATATGGATCCGAACTTTGTTTGTCCAGCCTGGCCTAATACAAGGTATATAACCTGGTCTGTTTCATTTTTTTTTTTTGTATAAAAATGTTAATCTTAATTAATTTATATTAAAATTAAATTTGTCTTAAACAATTAAAATTAATTAATATTTAAAAGTGGCATTTTTTCGTGTGAAAACAATAGTTATTTTTAGAAAATAAACTTAATAATTAATTATGATAATTTTGAGCACATAGTCCATGTTCGGTTAAAAAAAAAAACATCTCATGTAAGGCCGAATACAACTGGTTTAAGTTGGGTAAAAAAAAAAAATCATATTGTGCTTCAACTTTATTCTTCTAACCCAAACAATTATTCATTAAGACTTTGGAATGAAAAGTGTTATAGTATACTCTTTTTAATTTTTTTTTTATTGATTAAAATTTGTTGAAAATTATAAATAAAACTTGAATTCACAAAATTTCATAATTCTAAAAAAAAAAATCTAATAATAAAAAAATACATTTAGAAAAGTGTGTTAAAGTATACAAGAAGAGTTGCTCATCTTTTAGCAACTCCAATAAAAACAAGATACTCCTGGAAAATATATAATTTTTAGAAATTCCATCCTTTTCAACTTTAGATGAGAGTCTCGATTGTATTTCACACAAATGGAAGAAATAAATAGATGGTATGGTTTATTTAAGAAATATTTTAGTTATTTTATTGAAGTTGGTTAGAATAATAAAATTTATATGATAGATATATATTATAAAAATTGTAAAAAAATTATGCAAAATAATTTAGCGAGTCGTATTTGTTGCTTGGATGTTACCTTACCTTGTGCAGTTATCTCTTTCTTATTAGCATATATTATAATCAAATTCATATATTCATGTTTTGGTGCGGTGTTGGCTTCACTTCGTCTCGGGACCTAAACGGTTTATTATTATTTTTTTATTTTTTATTTCAAGTAGAGTCTTCTATTTTTTAATATATTTTTTTTATCCAAAATATTTGAACCTAAAATTTTGTTTAAGAAGGTCGTGTCTCTAGCGACTTGTTGGTAATATGTGATTTAGTTCAATACATTGTGTTTGTTTGCGATGAAATGCCTGAGAAAATAGCGCGGAGAGAGAAGAAATACTATGATTTAAAAATCTCACACTTTTATCTACTCTCTAGTTACTAAAAAAGTGAAGAACACATCTCTTACCCTCGTGGTCTACCAGATTTGGTTGTTTTTGTTCGAAGAATTTGGTTGTTTTTGGCCATTTGCAGAGATGTATCTAATTCTTATTCAAATAGCAGGTGCATGTATTCAAATAGTTAAATTGTGTATTTGAATACTAGGAGAGTTTATTGAAATAGCTGCATGTATTCAAATAGTAGGGGTGATTATTCGAATATATGGGGTGTATATTTGATTATATTTTGAAATAATTATTATTTTCAATTTTAAGACATGATTTTGAATCATTTTTTGTCTGATTTAAAATTTAAAACTTGTTTCTTTAAATTCAATTACATGAAAACTAATGAACATCATGTATATTATTGTGTGAAAATGAGTCCAAGTAGCAATTAAAAATTAAAAAAAAAAATCTAATTTCAAATTATTTTCTAATTGTTCATGTGATATATTTTTCATGTGATTTATACTATGTACTCAATTACTCTTTTGGATTTGAATATTAATTGAATTTCATAGTTTTCATATAGATAGATTAATGAGACAAGTTTTATGTCTTAAAATAATTAAATAAAAATTTAAAATCATGTTAAGTTGACTCAAATCTAAAATATAAAGAACCAAAATAAATATTTTAAAAAGATGAAGAATCAAAATAAATCTTAAAAATAAGATATAAAGAACTAAAATTAGAATTTAATCTTTTATAATATTATTTTTCTTTTATTTTATTTTATCTATTTCTTTTTAAATTAAATAATCTTATTTCTACTATATTTTTTTCACCTATTAATCTCTTTTATTTCTCTTTATCTTATTTCTTATTTATTTTTTTCCTCCCAATCAAACATAGTGATTGAGTGATTTTGATGGGAACTTTTCAAACTAACGGAGGGAAGACCCTGTTGAGAGCAGCAACGATAAAATTGAGAATGTAAAGCAGAAAGTGCAACAAGGAACTGACATGGATGCAGGAAAACGGTGTCTGCTTTCTCCGGCACGTGAGGAAGTACCCATTGTTTCTCTTCTGATAACTTTTCACTTTTCAGCTACAGGGGCATGCATGCAACATCTCTACTATACACACGAGTGACCAACGTCAATGAACTTATCACAAAATAACATGTTAAAATAAAAACATAGTTCAAAAGACTATAATTATATATGGACAAAATTAACAAATTAGTATTAGAAACCAAATTTAGGTATATTCATAAACTAAATCATGAACATCTATGTCGAGGTGCAGCATGTAAATTTTCACGACACAAACCTGATCAGACTGTGTTACATGACAGAAACTCATAAACCGATGGTGGACAAACAAAAGTTATTGTTATAAAAATGAGAATGAGAGAGATAGAGAGGTTGAGATCTGAAAAAAAATAGACACATTTTAGAGGGTTGTGAAGAAGAAATATATAAAGGGATGGAAGGGACACATTATGGAATAGTTGAGGAGTTTGAGTCAATGTAGACAGCCTGACAGAGTAACGTTCTTCAGAATTTTTCTTTCTTCTTTCGCTAGTCACCAACTCTGCCCCATCTTTCAATATATTTTTCTAATTCCTACTTTTTCTTCTATTTTTATCCCTTTTCCACTACTTTAATGTGAAAAGTGAAAACCCTCCTATTTATATTCTCGTTCCTCCTTATGTAAATCAATTATTCATTCGGTTGACAAGCCACTATAATAATTAATTCAAAGAGGAAATCATGTACTTACTTATACATATTATATTATGCAGTACACTTCAACTTTGCACTAGTGATTGCTGAAGTCAATAGTTAGGCAAAGTATATATATATGATATTAGCAATCACTTTTAATATCTTTTTAAGTTTTAATCACTTTCAAGAACAAATTAATGGTAATTTATAATTTCACATAATTTTTCACCTGAACAAATAAATACCACTTTTAGCATTTTAGGTGCCAAATGTGCACACACACTTTGCCACCTTTTCTTTTCTCAGACATTCATTTAAGGCTTTTTTGAGGAAAGAAAAAACTTATTGGTAGTAGAAATTAGGTTAACCGTTAATGAGAACAAGTGTTTATTGGATTGAGAGTTAAGGTCTTAATCCATGCATGCATGTCTCATGTCAAATAGGTTATATATTCTGAAGTATTCCCTTAAACAAGGAAGATATACTAATTTTCTATCTTATCAGACATATATTTGGCACCTAATCTTGCATTTTTAATACTCGAACTCGAGTTTCTTGCCTAACCCCATATCTTGAAAGCAGCCACAAGATAAATTTCTTATCCACTGTAGGTAAAGCCTCTTTTCATTAAAATTTTCTCTTTATGTCAGTACACAAGCATATGAAGAAATTGAGTGGCTGAGAGCATCAAACACCTAAAATTATCTGCCAAAGACAGTTACAAATTAATTTACTAATTTGTTGTGTTTTCAGTGTTATCTTGTGGCAAAATTAACCATCCTTGAAATTGATGATATTCGTTCAAGTGTCCTTTCATACTATTCACTAACCAAACCCCTGGTTTAGTCACTACCAAATATCAATGGAAGTGTCAAAAATACAGTAAGAAAGTTAATTAAAAAAATATATATATATTGTGAGCACAGATAAAATGCATCAGGAAGAAATTTCCATGCATAAAATGCCACGGGCTAATGTAATGTCGTAAGAATTTGTTAGTGGCAACGCTTAAAGAGCTTCAAATCATAATTGTTAGTGTCATAATATCTTATATGGAAGCCTTGCAGTTATCTCTACGCATTGCATTAATTAGCCTTATCCGACAGATATCATATGAAATTGTTCATACCCAACATTGAGAAAACATGAAAGACAAGATCACGAGAATGAAAAATAAGAAAGCATTGGGTCTAGATATATGGTGTCTTGATCTCACTATCTACATCAGGTGATGTTACAAATTTCATCCATATTTCTTTGTTAGACTTGAAACTATAATCCAATTCAAATTCGGTTTGACTAATACTTGTAATCGATCGGTTGAATTAATTAAAGTATTAGAAGATAGACCAGATAATATTAATATTAATATGTTTTTTTAATGTGTGTTTAATTAGCCTTTTCAGCATCTATTTATTTCCCACATGACCTTCTGAGAAACTAAAAAAGACCGGAGAAATTTGATGGATGTATGTTCAACGGAGACTGGACAGTTTTATAAACACAGTCTCTACACATGATTGGAAACTGGAAAGTGCTTCTTTTAGCGTTTGGCCACCAAACGCCCGTTTAAGGATTGAAAGTTGAGTAAATGATTCATTTGGTTTGGCGTTCTTATCATTATGTTCAACACAATTATGCTGCAAACAGGAGGTTGGAGCGAAAGCGAAAATTCGAAACTTTTACATCCCACCTATGGTCATTACATTATTAGAGAAGTAAATGAAAGATTTTCAACTTTAACAACCACTTTTAACCTTATCTTTGCCTCTTCAATTTTAACCTTTGTATGACTTTGCGTGTCATTTTTTTATTTATTATTATCAAGAGTATTTTCTCTGTCAAACACAAGAATAATCTTTTTCATGATACATTTCTTTCCGACTTGAATTTTCTACCTTCACAAAATTTAGGATTCAAATCCTAATGTAAGTCTCTTGTCACTCACAAAAATCCAAATTAATTTTTACGTGTCATGTAAATATAAAAACAAAGTAATATATTTATAGATACTTATATTAATGTTTTAATCGTATTATAATTAAACTACTATAATAGCATTAAAATTTTAATAATATTATTACTATAATGCACACTACTAGATTTTAATCTTTTAGCAACATTTTCTTGTTTACATTTGTTAAAATGTTACTATATATTATACAAATATGTTATTTTGTAACATTTTTTTTAAATGTCATTATAGATAGAGTAATATTTTGTATTTCAATATTATTCTTTCCAATTGTTTTCAAAATCAAAGTCTCACATCGAGTAAAAAAAATTTACATAAGTTATTTTGCAACATTTTTTTGAAAAATGTTACTATAATTGCTTCTAAAATTAAAGTCTCACATCGAGTAAAAAAAATATTTCTCTTATATCTAATTGTAACCTATAATTAAAGTTCCACATCGAATAGATTAATGACTCATAAAGTATATATACTCATATAGTTATATTTAAGATAAATAAAATTTGATATTCTATATATTTAAGATAAATAAAATTTGATATTCTATATATAATTAGCGGTGACTAACTATAAATGTCTTTCCCTTTCAACTAAGAATTCCTAGAAGTTTAGGAGACATATAAATATAATAATTGATAGTAATATTAAAATTAAAATTAATTATTATTTTATAAGATTAACAAAATCTTGGCAACATCATTAAAATGTTACAAAAAATTATTAAAATATTATAAAAATACTACTTTGATAACATTTGAAAAATGTTACATAATTATGCAAAAATGTTACTAAAAGTCTTTAGCAACATGGACTATATACAACATTTGATAATATGTTGCTAAAATAAATTAGTAACATTTATACATAATTAAGTAACATTTTTTAAATATTGTTAAATACCATTTGTGTTGTAGTGTGCATCTTAATATTTTAATGGGGATTTCTATTTTAGCACTTGAATTTTCTTACTCTCTTTAAAACAATGAAGATTGCAATCCCATGAAATCGGTTAATATAATTAATTACAAAAAAAAAGTGAACAACACTTAATTATTTAGGATAGCAAAATAGATTATTTGACCCATTATGATATAACTTGATGTAAGATATAAATTATAATGGGTTAAGTAAAAAAGAATGGACTCTAATATAATCTATTAAATTGATGTTTAAGTTTGGCTCCATCTGGGCTACGAGCTTTTTAGACTGACCCAACGTTTTTAAATTTTTGTTAGTTATATATTTTTCTCAAAATTTAAGCTAAAAAATTCTTGAGATAATTATTTTTGTTGACATGTTTATTTTAATGTATTAAATTAAATAAATAATTAATTTTCTATTATTATGTTTAAGAAAAAGATTAAAAGTTGATAATATGATAATAGTTGTAATTAATTTTAATATGAAAAACATTTATTTATTTAATAAATTAATTTTATCTTATCTATCATTTCATAAAAATTGTAATAAAAAAGTATCTATATATTATAATAAAATATTTAACCATTTGCGTAAAAATTTATAAAAATTATAATTTTATTTAAATTTTATCTTTAAATAATGAACTTTAATTTCTTAGTCATTTAGAAAAATCAAATATGAAACCAGGCAGCCCATGATCCAATTAAGTTAGCTCGATCCAAACTCATGACATGATTTTATCAAATTAGGTTAAAAGGTCCACATTTGATATGAACTTGAAATTTGGAGTGCAAATCCTATAATTTATTAATATAAGACGGGTTTGGACTAACCTCACAAGCCCAACCTTTTATTGGCTCTAATTCAAAGTGTTCATAATCTCTTATTGATTACATAAAAACAATTAAAGAAACTTAAAGATTGTCTCACAATCACAATTTTAAAACATATGCACACAACATGACAATCTCATTCTCTCTTGTCTCAATAGAGTGACTTCAACAATAAATAGTATAGGATACAATTCTAAAATAATCTCTTCAGTATCTCCTAATATCTCCTTTCAAGTTTTTTCTCAAGCATCAAAACATCCTGCATAACTTTCTCTTCTCTTTCTAACTCTATTTTGATTAATAAGGCCATATTTGGTTACACATTTGATATTTGTAACCTCAATTAGTTGGCTTCGGACGCAATGTTTATATGTTTGACAATTTTTCCCCTCCATTAAGTGTAAATTACAAGCAAATCTTAGTTGAAGCAGATACTAGAAGGATGTTGCTTTTATTTGAAAGTAGGTTTGGAAAGTTAAGTTCACCTTAACTTAACTTTCTAACTATAATCCAAACACACATAGTGATGGACCATGTTTTTAGAGCCTAAACATGTCATTTGAGTAGTAGGTTACCACTAACCACTAAACCCACTTATTTTAATTAATTAACAAAATATTATTATTTTAAAACCTCAAACTAATTAAAAAATTAAGGTATAATATATCATTTTGGTCCTTATTTTTATTTTGAAAATTTTCAATTAGGTCTCTAAACTAAAAATATTGTAATTAGCTCCTTATCCTTCTTTTTTTTATTATATAATTTATTCATTTGCAATTCATGAAATTCCTCAAAATAATTTGTATATATGCCTAGACAATGATACCAAATTATAATTTGATGTTGTCTTTGATATGTATCAAGTTTTAATCCCTACTTGTAAAAATTTGCTCAAAATCTCTTTAATGAAAAGAATTTTAGAATAGTATAAAACTTTAATTAGTACGGATTAAAATCTGATACACATGAT